GATCTTAATTATTATCAAATACAATGGATAGACCTTCTTATTTAAAATTATTTATATAGAAATTTCAATTCAAAATTATTTAGAATGAAGATACGTACAATGACATTAATACTGCTAAAGTTGCATTACAGTTTTCTGGAAATAAACTAAATAACAAAGTACGCGTAATTTATATTACAATATTTAGTAACTATAAAGGAAATATTTAAAATATTTTAGAATAAATCAATTTTTTTTAGTATACTTTCAATACTTATAAATTGACTTATAATTATGCTTGTATATATATCAGGAGAAAAGATTTTAAAAAAGTAGAAAAATTATTGATCAACGCAAGAAGTATAGTAATTTTTCTTTTTCTCAAGGATAAATTCACTTATTTTATAATTATATTAGAATAAAATTTTCTAGATATATGTCAGAAATATTTAACTGATGATTATTATAGTGAAGAAATTGAAAAAGAATTAGGCACAATTAATACACAATTAGCATATTTATATCAACTTCAAGGCCGGATAACTGAAGTAATTGACCTTTATCAAAGCGTACTCAAATTTAATAAGTCAAGATTACAATTGGATATTCTAGAATAATTAATAGCTTGTTGAATTTCCTTTATTAATTTTTTCAGAGGAACTAATGTTGTTAGTCGAAATTATTTCGACATTTAGGCATTTAGGCAAATTGAATTTAGGCAATTTTGACTTTGTTATTTTTTGAAAAATTACTATTAAAAAATGAATTTAGTCATTTAGACATTTAAACAATTTAATTTAGACAAATTTTGACATTAGCAAAAACAATTTTGACTAACAACATTAAAAGGAACAGATATAACAGTTTCTGCTATTGCGTCTAATAATTTTGTCACGGCTAAAAAGGATACTGAACTGTTTGATTCTGCTCATAAATTGAAAGTAGCAAGCACAAATACGTTAGATTATAAATTGTTTAGAAGTCAGCGTCGCATAATCGCGATGAATGAAGCATTATTATCATTGTATATACATAAGGTTAGTTTATATAATCGCCATTTTCGATTTATTCGTTTATTAATTATCAATTAAATATATTAATTACTAGCTTTATATTAATCGTAATTTTACAAATTTTTTGTATCCAAATTTTTATTCGTTTAGCATACAGCATTCCAAGATGTTACTCGTAGACTTTTACAAACTTATCCTGAAAATGATGATCTTCATCTCATTTTAGCATCAATATCTTATCGTCAAAAAAATATTACAAAGGTTATCCAAGAATTACAAGAATTTTTAAAATTAAAACCGGATTCTTTATATATTAATTTTGCAATTATGCAACCTCAACTTTTACAATCCAATCTTACAAGTGCCTTAGAAAAGTTTTTATCTTTAATAAAGGATGATGCTGAAAAATATAAGCCTGTTTGTAATACTCGAAAAACTATTCTAACATTTTTTTTTTGATAATGGGTAAACTAGTTTTCTAAACTGACGATCATCACGATTTATAAAAGCATCAAACTTTTTGAGATCTTTGTTATATAACAGTGGGTTAGGGAGAAAGTATCAGATCATTATGCAGAACATAGTTTAGATCATGCTGAAGTATATAATATAGATTAAATGATCTTCATTAATCTTTGAATCCTTGAAACCTGAAAGGTTAAAATTTTCTTAATGATCTTGAAGCCTGAAACTGTGTAATAAATTTTCCTGAAATCAATAAAGTAAAAAAGTGATTCTCGAAAGAATTTGCATTATTTGAAACTATAGATAATTTTGCCTCATATTTGATACTATATATAATAGACGATAAATCAAATAAAGAATAATAAAGGAAAAAATGCATCAACTGAGGAGTAATGGCCCAATAATATAAATATAGTAGATAAACCTCAAAACACATTGATGGGCAACAATGTGAAATGGCCCAAACATATTATACTACTGAGTTAACCTAAAGCTTCAAGGTTTTTGCAAAGTGCCAAAATAAATGAGATAAGACGGAGTAAAGAATGAATCATTGGTTATAAAAAAAAAAAGATATGAATAACCAGAAAATAATAAAGGAAAAAGTACATCAACCAAAGAGTAATAGCCTAATAATATAGATATGTTGAGTAAACCTCGAAACACATTGGTGGTGCAACAATGTGAAACAGGCCCAGACATACTATACTACTGAGTTAATCTAAAGTTTTAAGGTTTTTGCAAAGCGCCAAAATAAAAGGAAAAGAAACGGGTAAAGTACGTCTACTAGCTAATCATATTAAGGGTAAACCTTGAGTCTCATTCGTGACAAGGCAATGAGACACTGGCCTAACATATGTATTAAAGATATAAACATAGGCAATGAGAAAATAAAGTAATAATAAACAAGCTATCATACCAAAGCTTCCTTAGCGATATTTCTTGAGTTTGTAATTTTATTTGACTTGTTTATTTTATCTCGTATGTACTTCTCTATCTCTTCTTTATGTTATTTCTAGAGTATATTTTTATATCATTGTTGTATATTTAAATTTGTAATGTATTATTTGTTGAGACCGTATTGATTTTCACATATTTTATGTACAGCTAGATTAAGATATAAAATATGAATGTTGAATATAAATAGGTTTCTAGCTTTAACTAGTGCATCATACTAGAGAGCATCAATAGGATATATAGCATCCGCCAACTTCCTGTTCTGTTCCATAGAGTCCTATAACAAAGTTCAACTTAGACATATACAAGCTTTCTCACGTTCAACAGCATATTAACTAAAAACAATGCAATGAAAAACTTACATTCTCCTTCTTAAGTTGACAATACTCTAATAAGTATCCTTTAAACCATAGATTTTAGCGGGCAAATTTGCCCACTAAAAATAGTTTAAAAAAATTTGATCATTGTAAAAAATTTTTTTATGAACATTTTCACGCAAATTGATCAGAGTAACTTTCAAGACAGTAGAGCATGTGATGTGAACTGTAGCTGTATTGTATTCATGACCTTGTGATCTAAGTGAAAGTTGCAAGTTTGAGTTACTCGAAATGTGCTGTTCCAAAACTGTAAAATTATGCTGCGTTTCAAATTTTTGGATTATTATTGCTAATTAGGCCCCTACATACTTAATAGAAATTAATTTAACAGACTTAACCTAAATATTTATCAACTAAAATAAAGTTGCACTCTTTATTTTTCAGTATGATATCCATTAAAGCAGTTTTGATAATTATTACAACATAGAGGCACATTACATGTTATGTACCAAATTTGACTTTGGTGGGGGTTTTACGATCCATATCTATTTTTTTTTGCTTGCTAACCAAGCACACCACAGATACCTTTCACATTTTGCCTTCCATTCTGCCAAGTGATATCCTGGCACTAGCTGTTGATCTGAAAGTTCAAATTTTTTTGTAACTTTTGGCTGTTTCACTTTTGAATCCTCTTTCATTTTTTTTTTCACTCTTAATTAAATCTCACTGGAGATATTACTTGCAGATTCAATAATATCTCAAACTAGCTTAAGCCAGAATTTCTTATGCCCTTGTTTAGATCCTAAAGTTTGAGCAATCAAATATGTATTGATAATTGCTGTATCTAGCAACCAAAAAAAAAGTAGCATCCAATTTTGTCGTATTGTTTGTTGTGTATTATAATAGGACCGTAATTGATTAGCGACATTCACACCATTCATATTGTTGTTATAATCATCAATTATTTTGGGAATTTTTAATAATTTTCTTGATTCTAATTCAAATACTGCACATACCTTTTTTGCATTCGTACTTGTTTCTCTTGGTCACTACCTTATTCATTCAATTTCTCATTCTTTACTAATGAGACTATGGATTGTTAACAATATTGTGACTGGTCCATTATCCTGCCAGAAGGCAGCCAAAACGTCATCTACTACAACTCTAGAGTGAACATCCCAATCAAATTTGACATTTTTGTCTACTTTTAGTTCTTTAGGAAACCCTGAGGCTGTTTTACGAACAGTTCCACAAGCTCCAATGCCAATCTGCTGGAGATACTGAAAAAGAGGTATACTAGTAAAGTAATTGTCCATATAAACATTGTATGGAACCTGATGATATGGAAGTTGCTCTACAAAGTGAAGAACTAAACACCCAATTTGGTTAAGACCACTTATTTTTATTACATCACTTGAAGATACATGTGATGTCAGCAAGAAAGTGTAAGTATATTCAGATTCACATAACAAGACAACTTTAAAACCTTCTGGGATAGGCTTATTCTTCATCTGAACTGTATAAATGCTTCTACCAGAAAATCTAACCATCATTTCATCCACTGAAACATTTGATCCTGGTATATAATATTGCTTTGAAGCATCACGAATACATGAAAGCAATGGTTCCACTTTTTCAAAATAATTTGTAGTTGTTGAAGAGGAGGGTAAAACATGCAGAAACCTCTTTATTGTTCAAAGTGTGTCAAAGACATTTGCTTTGAAATATAGTAAACAGGAAGTTTCTGATTTTCATTCTAGTACTAATTGAGAGAAGGCACTTTAAAAAGTCCATGATAGATAATGAGAGCTATTCAGATAACAAGCTCTTTACGGTTTATATCCTGCCAACTCCTATCAGAAGCACTAGCACCTTTTGCTGATGCATATAAATTTGTATTGACAACTATTGTATCTAATATTGCATTTGTAAAAAATAAAAATAAAAAATCAATCGCTTTAGAGATACTGATATCAAAGTGCAGTAGCAATCTAACATTTGTCCTATGCAAACTTGAATGAACAAGAGGTTTAAAGTCTAAAGGTAGTGGTGAGAGTACAGTCTCTACTGATTTATTTTTTTTTTTAGAGAACTACTAACAGTGTCTATTTCTGCAGCATTCTGGTCATCGTTATTATCATCTGAATCTGGATCATTAAGAGAATACTCGTGGAACATCAAAATTGGCAAGCATTCTTCTTCATCAGTATATTCATTCGCACTTTCAAAGGGGACAAAAATGATGAACTCAAAGATAATGAGCCTTAAGATGATGAACTTAAAGACAAAAAATTCGAAGACAATACTTCAGTTTTATGTTTGGAAGACATTACTGTGAAATTTTTTTTTTTATATATGGGCATCGATTATCAAGTTACTTATGCATTATTTTTAGATCAGAGTTGTATTATAAATATAGAAGTTACTGTGAGAAAATTATAGGTAATCAATCATGCAGTGAATTTTCATTTGAGCTTAGTAGAGGGGGAGGAGTTTAGTAAAATCGGAAGTAATTATGTAAAACTGATATAAAAAAATTTTAGCAGGCAAATTTGCTCATATTACAGTTTAAGGGATAGTTCCTTTTCTTTGCATTAGGGACGACTGCTAATAAATTTATCATGTGATGTTTTTTTAATTATAAAGATATCAAGAATGCTGATGTGCTTGTGCATAGATTAGGGAGATTAATTTGATTTAGTGGTTTATATTACATCTCCACTTTGAAAGGGAGAAGTGAGAGGTTTATATTGCAAAACTTTCAACAGGGGGAAATGTCAAAGGTTATACAAACTAACGTGTGATCAACAGCTTGCATATAAATTAATTTATACATAGTATTGTAAAATATGGTAATAAAATTTGATCATAATTAAATAATATATGACAGATAAAATATAACTAATAAAAATTACGAATATTTATTTATTTATTTATTTATTTATTATAAATTCACGAATATTAATTTTACATATTTTAATAACTCTTCTACATCAATTGTATTACCTATTATTTCATCTGCATTATCTGAATTGTCTTCATCTTCATCTTTATTTCTATTATCAAGTATTCCAACATCAACTATATTACTAGTCATACTTACTATTAGCGTATTGATATTTTTCTTGATTTCTCTTTGGAGATAACCTAAACAAATTAAACATTTAAAGTAAGATTTTTGTAAACAATAATTATAATAACTATGTCCATATGTCAAAACGTAGCCATTGGACAAATTGTCAGTCCTATCACAACACAATGAGTCACATAAAAAAGATACATTAAGTTTTTTAAAAGTAACAAAACCTCTCAAAAGGTGACGATCTGTTATTTCAAAGCCTAACAAAGGTAACTCATATGTATTGATACTATCGTTATTTGTAGATTTAATGATAGGATATTTGTCGCGATTTCAATACATTTTTGCAAATATATCCAAAAGTGATATAGAACATTTTTGAGAAAGCAAATCTAACAGTTTCAGTGTATATAGATACTTTACAGAATGTACAACATTTTGTTGAAAGGTATTATTATGTCGTTGCTGGAAAATGAAATACGCCTCCTTTTGCAATTGTTCAGCTATAACAAACTTAACAGTATGCCTTCGAATAATACTGTGAGTGACTTCAACAGGACTATCACTAAGAGAAGCAAGATAGTTAGTAATTAAATTCATTATTAGATAGCCAGTTTCTATTCAGTAAAAAGCATCTGAAAAAAACATTAAGGGGCATACTTATAATTTCTTCGATTGAATCATAGGAAAAGGTCACTTCAACAATGCATATACACTTCCTTATACAATAGCCAATCCCCACTCTGATAGTGTATAGCATAGACGTCAAGAACTAAAGGAACTAAATTGCTAAATAAATC